TTGTTTTTTGGGGGTTGGAGTCTCACTCTGTCGCCCAGACTGGAGTGCAGTGGCCGCCTCTGGCCACCGCAGCCTCGGCCTGCTGGGCTCCGGCAATCCTTCCGCCTCAACCTTCCAAGTAGCCGGAATTACAGGCATGTGCTACCACGCCCAGCTGATTTTTTGATTTATTGTAGAGATGAGGTCTCGCTGCCCAGGCGGGTCTCGAACCCGTGGGCTCAGGCAATCCACTCACCTCAGCCTCCCAAAGGCACGGGATTACAGGCTGAGCCACCGAGCCCGGCTTGTTTTGTTTTTTAAGTAGGCGTCTCACTGTGTTGCCCAGGCTGGACACGCTCACAGTGGCATGCTCACAGCCACCACAGCCTTGACTTGCTGGGGTCAGGCAATCCTTCTGCCTCAGTCTTCCAAGTAGCTGGAACCATAGGCAAGTGCTACCATTCTCGGCTTATTTATTTATTTATATGTGGAGTATAAATAAATTTGCCCAGGCTGGAGTGCAGTGGCATGCTCACAGCCACCCTAGCATCAACCTGCTGGGTTCCACCTCAGTCTTCCAAGTAGCCAGAACGCCTAGCTAATTTTTGATTTGTTGTAGAGACAAGGTTTCACCAAGTTGCCCAGGCTGGTCTCAAACCTGCGGTCTCAGGTAATCCACTTGCTTCAGCCTCAGAAAGTGCTGGGATTACAGGCTGAGCCACCAAGCCCAACCTTATTTATTTATTTATTTATTTTTATTTTTATTTTTATTTTTTTTTTGAGTTGGAGTCTCACTCTATCGCCCAGACTGGAGTGCAGTGGCTTCTCCCGGCCACCGCAGCCTCGACCTGCTGGGCTCCGGCGATCCTTCTGCCTCAGCCTTCCAAGTAGCCGGAACTACAGGCGCGCGCTACCACACCCAGCTCATTCTGACTTATTGTAGAGATGAGGTCTCGCCAAGTTGCCCAGGTGGGTCTCGAACCCGCAGGCTCAGGCAATCCACTCACCTCAGCCTCCCAAAGGCGCGGGATTACAGGCTGAGCCACCGAGGCCGGCTTAACCTTATTTATTTATTTATTTATTGTAAAGTTGAGGTCTTGCCAAGTTGCCCAGACCCCTGGCCTCATGCAGTCCTCTGACCTCCGCCTCCCAAAGTGCTGAGATTACAGGCATGAGCCACTGCACCTGGCAGCTCCACTTGTTTTTCAACTCTCTTTTTAAAAATGAAATTTGTAGCCGGGCTTGGTGGCTCAGCCTGTAATCCCGCACTTTGGGAGGCTGAGGTGAGTGGATTGCCTGAGCCCGCGGGTTTGAGACTCATCTGGGCAACTTGGCGAGACCTCATCTCTACAATAAATCAAAAAATCAGCTGGGCATGGTAGCGCATGCCTGGAATTTCGGCTACTGACTTGGAAGGCTGAGTCGGAAGGATCGCTGGAGCCCAGCAGGTTGAGGCTGCAGTGGCTGGGAGCAGCCACTGCACTCGTCTGGGCGACAGAGTGAGACTCCAATTCAAATAAATAAATAAATAAAATAAAATTTGTTGCCAAGTTAAACACACCATTCAATTTTTTGACTCAAAATTGGTTTATGTCAGTGTCATATTAAGTTCTAAATAAAGCTTTCCTCTGCTTTTGGAAAATAACTCTGACAGTAAATGAACAGGTTGACAGTAGATGGTCAATGTGGTTTTTTTGGTTGTTGTTGTTTTGAGTTGGAGTCTCACTCTGTCACTCAGGCTGGAGTGCAGTGGCATGCTCCTGACCACCGCAGCCTCAACTTGCTGAGCTCAGGCAATCCTTCCGCCTCAGGGTCAATGTGTTTTTAAATGCCAATTGTATTACTTCATTTTTCTTTTCTTTTTGTTTTTTGTTTTTTGAGTTGGAGTCTCACTCCGTCGTCCAGGCTGGAGTGCAGTGGCACACTCACAGCCACCCCGGCCATTCTTCCAACGCAGCCTTCGAAGCAGCAGGAACCACAGGCATGCGCTACCATGTCCCACTAATTTTTTATTTATTGTAGAGATGAGGTCTTGCCAAGTTGCCCGGGCTGGTCTCGAGCCCGTGGACTCAGGCAATCCACTCATCTCGGCCTCTCAAAGTGCTGGGATTACAGGCTGAGCCACTGAGCCTGGCCTCATTTTTTCTTTTTAAGGGTTGTTTTTATTAATTTGTACAAAGGTAGCCTCAGAAGGACCTGCAAAATCCTGATACAGCTGGGCAGGGTGGCTAACCCCTATAATCCCAGCACTTTGGGAGGCACCAAGGTGGGAAGAGAACTTGAGCCCAGGAGTTCAAGATCAGCTTGGGCAACATAGTGAGACTTCGTCTTTACAAAAAAATTTTTTTAAATTAGCCAGGCATGGTGATGCACGCCTGTAGTTCCAGCTACTCCAGAGGCTGAGGCAGAAGTATCGACTGAGCTTAGGAGGTTGAGGCTACGGTGAACCCTGATCATGACACTGAGGCGACAGAATGAGACCCTGACTCAAAAAAAAAAAAAGTCCTGATATAAGAATTCTTGGTGGTCATTTTACTTTTTAATCTTCCAAACAATGTGGTGTGTAGTCCCTTACCAAATAGATTTTTTTCATTTGTGAAGAGCTGTAACACCAATATATATATATATATATATATTTTTTTTTTTTTTTTTTTTTTTTTTTGAGTTGGAGTCTCACTCTGTTGCCCAGACTGGAGTGCAGTGGCACGCTCCCAAGCCACCACAGCCTCAACCTGCTGGGCTCCGGCGATCCTTCCACCTCAGTCTTCCAAGTAGCTGGAACTACAGGTGCGCGCTACCACACCTGGCTAGTTTTTGATTTATTGTAGAGACGAGGTCTCACCAAGTTGCCTGGGCGGGTTTCGAACCCGCGGACTCAGGCAATCCTCTCGCCTCAGCCTTCCAAAGTGCTGGGATTACAGGCTGGGCCACCAAGCCTGGCCTATTCTTTTTTTTTTTAATTACACTAATTTTTTTTCCTATAATTTTTGGAGGGGGCAGAATCCAATTTCTTCACCACCTGCCAGCCCCCAAATATTTGAAGACAGATATGTTGTGTCTAAGCTAAGCACCTCAAGTCCTTCCATTTGTTCCCCGCCAGACTTTGTTTCCAGACCCTTCACCGTCCTGCTCACCCGTGGGCATACACTCATTGAACAGCTTCCTTTTGTAAAATGTGACATCCTGAACTGATCATAATAGTCCAGATTTGTTCTAAACAGTGCGGAGGAGCTGCTCCTCCTTCCTCCTGCCCTCGCACGTCTGGTCATGCAGCCCACATTTGCACTTGTTTGTTGGCAGCCTTGTTCCACTCTTGCCTCATTCTGAATTTTCAATCTGATATACTTGCCTTTTTAAAAATGGGCTTTGAGCCGGGCTTGGTGGCTCAGCCTGTAATCCCGCGCCTTTGGGAGGCTGAGGTGAGTGGATTGCCTGAGCCTGCGGGTTCGAGACCCGCCTGGGCAGGTGAGACCTCATCTCTACAATACATCAAAAAATCAGCCAGGCATGGTAGCGCGCGCCTATAATTCCGGCTACTCGGAAGGCTGAGGCGGAAGGATCGCCGGAGCCCAGCAGGTCGAGGCTGCGGTGGCCGGGAGCGGCTACTGCACTCCAGTCTGGGCGACAGAGTGAGGACTCCAACTCAAAAATAAATAAATAAAAAAAAATTAAATTAAATTTTTTAAAAATGGGCTTTGAGTTTCCAGAGGGCAGGATCAATGTCCAGACCTCCATGTGGCAGGCAAGGTGTGTCCCACAATCTGATCTCTCTCTCCGGATTTTAACTTTGCCTCTCTCTGTTCCTCTGCATAGAGCATTGTTCCAGTCTAGTGATCCACTCACCATTTTCTGCACGGCTGCTCCGTCCTCAACCATGCATCAGAATTACTTAGGCCTTTCAAACAACACAGATAGGATCCCATCTCTCCATGGCTTAAAAATATTTGATACTTCATGCTGGGAAAGACACACACAGGGCTTCACAGCATGGCTCCTACCTAACTTTCTAGCCTCATGTCTCACCTTCCTTCTCTTCCTTTTTGTTTTTTCCAAGTTGGAGTCTCACTCTGTCACCCAGGGGCTCAGGAGATCCTTCCGCCTCAGCCTCCCAAGTAGCTGGAACTACAGGCACACGCCACCATGCCTGACTAATTTTTTGATTTATTGTAGAGACATGGTCTCACCATGTTGCCCAGGTTGGTCTCAAACCTGTGGGCTGAGGCAATCCTCTTGCCGCCACCTCCCAAAGTGCTGGGATTACAGTTGTGAGCCACCACTCCCAGCTTTGTTCATCTTTGTATCTCTAGTCTAACCTCAGACCTGGCATAGATTTCAGTGAATGGTGGATGAATGAGGAAAGACGGATGGTCAATGAGTGGATGCATGCATGCGCTGTCTCCCACCTAGACTCTGAGACTTAGAGGTTGAGGTTCAAGTATATACTGTGCTGTGTCTGCTGCTTCCAGGGGAAGAACTGCAGTCAATGTCTGGATCACCCAGGTCCTCCATCTTACTCTGTGCCTGCTCTGAGCTCAGGGAATGCAGGTGAAGGGGTAGACACATGTGCACGACTGTTTTCTTTTCTTTTTTTTT